GAGTCCTCAAACCAAACTAATGCACTGAAGACTGTTTTGCTGCAGTCCTTTCTCAAACTTAACTGGTTTTATAGCATTAATTAGACCCATAAACACAAATATCCTATGATTTCGAGGGTTTAGCTGACTTTATTAGGACTTCGATCCTAGATCCTACGCCCTGAGAATCCCCTCCCCCTTGGAAGAACCTGGCTATGGGCCTGAACTGATTAATTGGTTTGAAATGTGCTCTATGTAAACTCATGTTGAGGCTTAGGGAGTGAATTTGTAGTTGTGAAACAATATGGTGAAAAGATTTGAACCCAGGACCCTGGTTTTGGATGGCAATCGTATTCACATGTTTCAAATACCAGTACACCATAAATTTCTTCGACGTTACATCCTAAATTGGACCAAATGTCAGGTGTAGATTTAAATACAGTTTCAAAATTTATTCAAAAACAAACTTTGAATTAAGTAGTAGTGATATATAAAAGACCAAAAAAATGTGTTTTTGAATCATAATTTATCCAAGATCTTGAATATTTAGATTTTTTCTAAGAAACAGTTTTTTTACCTTACCATAGCAACTAAAATTCTGGAAATAAAAGAAAGGGGGGTGTATAAGCTTGTTAGCTAAACATGGTGATTTTTGCTCGCTTACTGTAGGTAACTTCTTAAAAATGTTGGTGTGCAATAACCATTTCAAATGACAAACATATCTGCAAAGATAAAGTTCGAAATTTAATATCAGTGATTTTTTTTTTAACTATGAGAAAGATGTATACATATCATGATGTATAATTATAAAATCTATTTTAGAATTTTCATACATTGAGTTGTAAAATTTGAAATCGGTATAAATTTACATGATCTTAAAATTATAGTAATTCATTGTCCATTGCAATATAATACAATATTTAAATGTACTGTTCTCTATAATATATATTAATAATCCCATCCCATTATTAACTTCTTTTACTTTATGGTTGAAACAAAGCCAAATTGATATTAATTTATTTTCACTATAATTAATTTATCGTTATTACTTGGTACATCGCACCATTCTGTGGCAATGATTGTTAAGTTAATTATTTTAGTTATGAACATACACTTAGATTTGTTTGTTAAAAATCTATGTGTTGTTAATGAGTGAATTTAGAATTTAGCTAAATGAACTAAAATTAAAATTAAAGCAAATGTTAATGAATTATGTGAATGATTACTGGTACATCGCACCATTCTGTGGCAATGACTGTTAAGTTAATTATTTAGTTATGAACATACACTTAGATTTGTTTTTAAAAATCTATGTTTTGTTAATGAGTGAATGTAGAATTTGGCTAAATGAACTAAAATTAGAATTATAGCAAATGTTAATGAATTAAAATTTTTATTTTGTAAGTGACTATGTGACAATTAATGACCAACAACTAAATGCTAGATTATGTCCTGAATTTTATGCAAAGATGTGAATATTGTTTTTCACATATTATTTATCAAGGTAAATAAACTATTAAGTTATCATGTAACAATATAATAAACAGCTATGTGGTATGCAAAGATGTACATAGTTTCTTCTTAATGATTAATGTTGTAATTCGCTTGCACCAAAGTATGGAGACACAGAGTAGCCTTAGTAAACTTTTGTGCTAGTGTATATTAATATTTGATTGATCTGTTTTTGTTGAGTAAGTTCTTACTGGTATTCATTTGTAAAAACTATGGTAACACATTTTTTACAATCATCTTAAATGCAAATTTAATGTCCGACGTGCACAGTGCCTTTAATTTTTACTGTTATTGTAAATTGATAATTTGTTTATTATTGTTTTGTGATTATAATTGTCATTAACATAATCATGAGTATTACTATTTTTATTATTTTCATATTTTATATAATTAAGCAGTGTTTCATAAATCCACAAGGTATGTTGTTCTTAAATTTAAATACTTTTGCATTATTCTTTCATGAAAAAGTACAATGCATTTAAAACGACAGCTGCTGGCTTTTTCAAATAGAAACTTGAAAATTACTATCTACAATTGAACATAAAAACAAAAACATTGCTTTGAAAGTAACAGGTGCATAAATTAGAATAATAATATTCATATTGACATTTAATTGACCTTTTTGCTAAGCCCCGCCCCTTGGATATTGTTGCTAAGGTACCACACAATGAAAGTTCGTTGGACAACATGTGTGCTTGTTAGATATGTATGCCCTGTTCTGATTGGTCATATGTTAAGCTTGGTTGACACTCTGGAAGGTTCTACTGATGGGACCATTGATAATCAATTGTAAGGATTTTCATATTAAAAAACAGGTCTGTATCAGTGATAACTGAGTAAAAGCTTTGATCTGAAACTGTAATTTTATATTTCTGAATGAGTAATGTTTAAATGGACATTTCCACTAAGCCCCACCCCTTAGATATACTGTTGCTAAGGTCCTGCAAAAGTGTAAATGTACGTATATTTTTGGCTCTTCACATGTGTTTGTACATGTATATTCATGTCCTGATTGGTCAGTTAAGCTTGGGCCCTGTTTGTGATTGGTCAGTTGTTTTTGGGCCCTTTTCTGATTGGTCAGTTGTTAAGTGTGATTGACACTCCGAAAAAGGTCCATTGAATGTTGGAGCATCTTCAAAGCTCTGTCCACACCAAGGTGTATGTGACAAATATATATGCAAATATGGGCATGATATGACATCATCATACCCATATTAGGCAAATCACATAAGCTTAATAGTGCGGACATACCTTCCAGTGAGATCTAGACGACGGGAAGCCTGGCTGTTTCAAGGCAAAACAAGACAGTTAACTGCACAAATATATAACAGCAGTTAAAGTTGTTTTGCCATGGGATGGCCGTGCCGTTTGCTGATTTTAGTGGCAGAGAGGATTGTAATTAAAAATGATATGTTGCACCTATCTTGGCGTTGCTTTTTTTCATCGGGGATCGCTTTGGCCAACAACCGTTGAGGCAGTGAGTGCAAGGAATAAGCATATACAGCTATCCTCATTTACTTTAAGTGTGAATATATTGTATGGTTCAAGAGGAATGATTGCCTTTTTCTGGTATCCTAATGTTGTATGGTTGTTAGTCTACTTTAGTGGGAAAAAATCATCAAGAATATATTGATTGGCCTACTAAAGGTCAGTGGACCACAAAGACAGTGGTGGTGCCAGTGGGGGATAAGAAAACAACAATTCATTGTGGAGAAAAATGTGCATATGTATACGCTAAATTGATTCAATAAGCATTTGAAACCCTTAAATTTTTAATTTTTCGGAGGCTTCAACCCCGGGGACACTTTTGAGAGGTTTTGAGCGAAGCCCAGCCACGCCCACTTTTTTCGTTGGGGACATTGGACGCCCTGTCGGTAAAATCCTGGCACCAGAACTGCTCACTCAACTCTGCTACATTTGTATGCCTGTTAAGTTGATGAATTGACTCATTTTAAAAGAAAAAACCTGAAATAAATATTTAAAAAAAAAAGAAATGCTTGTTTCAACTTTGCTTCATTGAGCATTGACTCATAACTTAATTTATTTTTAGGGAGGGGCTTGCTCCTCTGGTTTAATTAAAAATGATATATATATATATATCCTTGAAATTTTCTTTTTTTTAAGTGGCTGAGCATTTGGGAATGAGTGAGAAATCAAACAGTTAACAAACAAAACAAAAACATTTTGCTAAAAAATGACCGAAAATTCCGTTTCTGACCTTTTACATATTTCAGTGCGTATTCCTATATGCTTTTTGGCATAATTTGGACCTCGTAGCATGTAGCATTAATGCTACGCATGATTTCATGAAAACGTTTGCATAACGTAACAAACGTAGCATAATTTGGAATTGATGTAAATTTCATTATACTTTAGAAAAAAAAATTGCAAAAAAAGGCTCACAGTACTATTTCCGAGCATCTAGAGGTGCCAATTTTTAAATTTTTCTCACCACCTAGAAAGGCAATTAGCTAAGGGGGTGTGACAACGAATGTGTTAAATCCGATTTAGTCCATAAGACTGCATACCTGACTGTCGTGTATCCCAGTACCAAAATGTTAGTTAAATCCACGGCAGGCGTGTATATATCCACTATTTAAGGCGTAGCATCGGTACAGTAGCATTTACTCCAGTCCAGCCAGTGGCATAATTTCATTTGACCATGATTTGACACATACTGCATGTTACTGCATTATCACAGATACTATAGGTTCTGATATTACCAAATATCATTATTCTTGGACCATCCTGAACCAATTTTTGAAGTCAAATTCTCTGGACCTCAAAGTGCATACAGAAAAAACAAACAAACTAAACCGGGTCCGGCTACTAATAAGGGAATATTCAGTTTATATTTTCATAATCAATGCATCCTGTTACAACTTTGGAAAGTTGATATATTTGTGGGGTTTTTTTTTTTGTTCTAATTAAAATTTCTATTTTTTAGTTTACTGTACTATAATTTTTGGATGGTAGAGGGGCGTCTTTTGTGTTGGTGTCCGGAGTTGTGTGGGCGTTCACAATGACATAACATAAGCTAAATAAATCTTGGCAATATTATAGTAGAAGTCATGTACAGTACAATAGTAGCATTGGCCTCGCCCATTATAAATAGGATTGTAATACCACTTGAATTGACAGAAAGCCTGTATCAAAGCGTATACATTTATAGGAACTACAGAATAACTATGACCTAGGTCTTGTAGCTGTCAGTCTAGTGGGGTACATGGAAAAATAGCGTGGGATGAACCATATGTTTCAAAGTTCTAATTTATTCACCTTTTAAAGAAATCCATCGAGATACATTTTTATAAAATGAATAAAAGCAAACGGTAGGGAATGACCAATAAGAGCAAAGCTCGATGAGATGGCCACCCTAAGTGAGGTGCTTGAGGAAAAAAAAAAAATGCCAGTGCACTCACAATATAGAAAATATACCCAAAAAAAATCAGAGACATTGACTCAGACAAACAGAAAAACAGACAAACACGACGCGGACAGTATGTTGGCAATATATCAAACAATAAAGTGTGTAGTATAGAGCAAATTATTTAGCAATTACATCACATCATTACCATATATAGACTCAGATTCAGACTCACTTTATTGCATCCTTTTTACGGAAATTCGTTGCTCGTACATTGTTAAAACTATCAAAATTGGTTAAAAACTAGTTTGAAAAGCAAAAATCATAACAAACAAAATAAACCTGGTCCGGCTACTAAGGAATTATTCAGTTTATATTTAATCATAATCAGTGCATCCTGTTACAACTTTGGAAAGTTGGTAATATTTGTGGGGGTTTTTTTTTATGATCTAATTAAAATTTCTATTTTTTAGTTTACTGTACTATAATTTTGGATGGTAGCCAGTATTTTCTAATTTGTAAATACCGAATCCAGGGGCGTCTTTTCTGTTGGTGTCCGTAGTTGTGTGGGCGTTCACAATGACATAAAGTTAAATAAATCTTGGCAATATTAATAGTGAAAGTCGTGTACAGTACTATAGTAGCATTGGCCTCGCCCATTATAAATAGTACTATATAATATACATATTATGTAATACCACTTGAATTGACAGAAAGCATGTATCAAGGCGTATACATTTATGGGAAACTACAGAATAACTATGACCTAGGTCTTGTATATTTTTTGTATGAATAGAAATAATGAGATTAAAACAAACAAAAATTCTACTGCAGTGTTTTTATGTTTCTCCCCCTCAAAAAAAATCAAGCGTTCTAATTTATCACTCATTCACACGTAAATGCGTAAAGTAGTACCACAACAACAACACTGTATACCACGAATTTCTGTTCTTCGGATTTGTTTTAAACCACTTATTTTTAGAGACCTACTACTAGTTGTGTTCGTTTTCTTTTGGGCTTTTCTTGATAATATGCAAGTCTTTTAAAATGACAACAGTTACAGTTCTTCGTTCTTTTGCTACATGGACTAGAAACGCATTTATTAAACATCCTGTGATAGCGAATAGTATCACATACTGTGCTATTTTCGCCTCAGCAGAAGTTACTCAGCAGCTAGTTTGGGCGGATCGAAGCTGCTCCAACTCCTCATCCACCAGTACCCTAGGCCTAGACATAGACTGGAGAAAAGTTAGGAATATTGCAACACTTGGTTTAGTGTTCAATGGTCCAGCTGCATTTACGTGGTACAGGTTATTGGATAGATGGTTCCCTGGAACTTTACGAAAAACTGTGTTTAAGAAAACGATTGTTGATCAAGTAATTGGTTGTCCACCATTCGTCAGTGCATTTTACGTTGGTAAGGAAAGTCATTCACAGGCCCTAGCCCTAGGGCCTGCTACTACTTGTAGGACCTGAGCCTAATAATATTAATAATAATTCGAGCGAGCCAAATGGCTGAGCGGTTAAGGCACGGGCACCGTGATCATAAATAAATAAAAATAATTCTGGATTTATATAGCCAACAATATTTCGGATAATGCAGCTGTCAATTGTCACCAGGATACATCTCCCTGCTTAACAAAATTATTTAAGTGTGACCAAATTATCTAAGCATCATTCCTAGTAGTAGCCAAATGGTTATGAATTTTGAATATCACAGTGACCCACAACTTTTAGTAAATTTGGTAACCCAACAATGTAGGGTAAGTCGATGTTGGTAATTTGTTTTTTCTTTCATAGGTTTTATGTCCCCCCCCCCCCCAAAAAAAAAAAAATTGAAAAGGCGAGAATAAGTTCATGGGAATCACAAGTCATGTAAAATGCATTCGGGGCCATCTTGCATATTCCAGGATTTCTTCTTGACTAAAAAACATCTCCACTTCATAATTCAGATGAAGGGACTTAGTTTATAATAACATAAGCATAACTTCCTTCCTGCAATACTGGATAGGAGTTGAGTCATTTGGTGAATGAAATTGAATTATTAAAAATAATATCATCTTCAAATTTGTGGCTCTAATACATATTTTGGCAGGGAGATAAATGTGCCTGAGACAGGAGTTGCAGAGGAAAATGGTGCATTGGGATAGGCCTTGTGGTGAAGGAAGTTAATGTTGGAGAACTGGCAAGTCGAGAGAAACTTGACAATTTTGGGGACATTTTGAAGGTGTTTTGATGTTTTAAAGTATTTAAAAAAAATATTGGCTTGTCTGACATCAGGCTTAAGCCCCTTCTTCTCATGCTGGGCACTGACAGTGCCGCACGACTCGTCCGACGAATCCAAATTCACTTCCTGTGAGTGCAAGACGACACAACGTCATCTCGTTCGTTCATTCGTATGAATCGCAGGAGCTATACAGTTGGTTTTTAATGAACCTGTAGCTTCCTTCTAGTGAACAATTGCATATAATCAATTCTAGTTGCTGTTTTTTGACTGGAACAGTGGTAGCAGGGTCAACAACGAACAGGTTAACAACGTAACCCTCCAATATTATACTCCTGGGTGAAGAGAGGCAAACATTTTAATGTGCCTTGCCCAAGGATGCAATCAATGCGACAAGTGTTGATCTCGAACTGCCGATCTAACGATCAGAAGTCCAAAACACCCACATCTGCTGATTGTCGATGGCAGTCTGAACGATAGTCATAAAAATGGGTCCGTCGTGCACGCATCATGGCATTGCGATCTCAATAGTAGAGTGCAGTGAGCGTTCACTTTACCGTAGACGGCCCCTCACCGTAGACGGTCCCTGTCCGCTTCACCATAGACGGCCCCTTTGTTTGGAACCTTGTTGGACCAGCAAATTCCTGGAGACATTTATCTGCTTGCTCTTGAATGTGAACAAAATGTAAAATTTTTTTTTTTTTTATTTTACTCAAAAGGTTTAAGCATTTTAGAAGGAAAAGAAGATAAATTTGCAAGTTTAAAGGAGAAATTTTGGTCTGCCTACTTAGCCGGGTTCTGTTTTTGGCCTCCAGCACAGGTAAGATACAGGTGCTATTTATTAGTATAAATTTGTTATATAAATTTATTTATTTTAAATGAATTAGGCCACTGTCACATCAATCTGTGTCATGGCATGTATTAACCAACATTAAATTACCTAAACTGTATAAATCAGGCATGTTTTAACTGTTTTGTTTCCTTGAAATTCATTTACAGCATATGTACTGTACAATCTTGAAAAAAAGCCAATGCTATCTTGAATTTTGAAAAAAAAGCCCTTCCAAGATTGGCTTATTTTCAAGGCAACTTTTGTAAACTAAAGAAAAGGGCTTCAATTGAAGATGGGCTTCCTCTCGAGATTAAGCCTTTTGGGCTTCTATTCAACGCTTTACGGTATAATAGGTTGTTGTTATTGTATGTTTTATCCTTTGAATTAAAGTTGTTAAATGAGACAGCAGAAATGCATATATGAAGCAATGGTTTCTCTAGCAAGTGTAAACATATTTTTTTTGGTTTTTTTTCAGACTATAAATTTCTTTTTTGTCCCATCTCATTTCCGAGTTCTTTATGTAGCGTCAGCAGGGTTTGTGTGGGCCAATATACTGTGTTTTATCAACAAAATGGTGAGTATACTTCACCCCCAACCCCACTACAGGTGGGTGGACATGTATTGGTGTTAAGCAATAACTAAGAACCAAATGTTATTTGTTCAATAAATCTGGTAATGTCAATTTTTCTTTGTGTCTTCATGTATGTTATTTAATGAATATCTAATATGTATGCTTTCGGTTATAAATCCAAAATTTACTAAACCAGCTTGGCCTCATAGGTCAGTTATTATCATTATTATTATTATTATTATTATTATTATGATTATGTTACTAAAACCTACCTTAAGGGGACTTAGATGATAGATAAATTAGAGAACAATTAAAAAAAACAACGTTAAGGGGTATAACATGACGTTAAGGGGAAAATAACACAAAAGATATTCCCCTTAAGTCCAAGTTAGCGTGAGTTTTTATTATTATTATTATTATTATTATTATTATTATTATTATTATTATTATTATTATTATTATTATTATTGTTATTATTATTAATATTATTATTATTGTTATTGTTATTATTATTATTATTATTATTATTATTATTATTATTATTAAATGTACATTTTTCTAACAAACAAATACTATGATCCTTAATGTTTAACTTGTAGTTTGTGGGTTTATGATTATAATTTGCAGTCAACTCAAAAACCTCAAACTGTCACTGAAATAAATCCAGCACAAGAGCAACCAATCGGAAACACTCCTCTCAAGACAAACAAAAGCATAGTGGCTCCGGCAACATCAGGATAAAGTTCAGTGTGAACGCAGAATGCACAACATAAGTACAGACCATGAGCCTGTAGTTAACAAAGCTGTTTTAAATTGTGGGTGAATGCTTTAATACTTTTGTAACTTTTGTAATATGGAAACTGGCTACTAACATAGGATTTAGTGTGTATTAAATTCAAAATGTCTACTGGAACATGATTGCTTTATAAGTCAATCATCTTAGCCACTGTCGGAGCATAGGCCTAGGCCTTCCTTCTTGGACTGGCCTAGGTTCTGGATTCATTCATGTTGGCCAGCACCATACAGTAGATCAGTGTTGGTATAGGCTTGTTGCGTCTGTTTGTTTTTTTGTTGATCCAGGTAAAACAAAACATATAAGATAAAATCCAAGCAATTCCTTAAAGCACATAAATGCAAGGACATTGAAATATAAATGTAAATATATAAATTTTATGAATTACATTTAATGCATAAATTAATACAGAATGCAAAATTGTTACAGATTTTACCTACTTATTAAAATTGTTTATTATTGTTGTTATTAAATATTCATACTTATTGTTAATAATCATTATTCTTATGAATATTATTGTCACTATTATAATTGTTTTCATAGATTTATTAGACCAATACCGATTTAAAATACATAATTACCATTTCATAAGCCAATTTTGAACTAAGCGAATTTATTTGTGCAATGCGAAAGCATTTTACCGTACACATGCACAATTTTAATAGCTTTGGGTTAATGTTGGAGTTTGAACAATTTCCAGTTTTTGCGAAGCAAAATAAGGCGCAGCCATTCTGATCTCACGCCCATGAGCGCAGAACCAAATTGGTGAATTTATACCAACACGTTAGCTATGTTTGTGAAAATGTGCTTATCTCAAACCTATTGGCTCACATGTAGAAAATAACATAGCGCTCACACAGTTTTGTTGGTGGCAAAACCTTTTGTGATGCGAAAATAAGTTTGCTGATTGGAAAACCACTTTTATGGGTACAGAATTTTTGAGAGAGCACTTGGTGTAAGCATCACACACAAAATACAGTTGGAGATCTTTTGTGAAATTTTATAAGAGGGGTGGTCAGATCTTGCTTGAATTTCAGGAATTATATTTCGGAATGCCTTTGCTAGAGATTAAAAATAATCTTATTTGTTTCGCTTGGTTACTTTTCCATAATCTTCTGCTTACCAGGACTACAGTACTCTATACCATATATTGAAAAGAGTGCTGAGTAATTGTTCAGTGTTTGTCTGATGGTTCATAGATAACCTATTGTGCTATTGTGTGATCCCTGGAAAATTCAGACAAAGTTAAGCCCTATCCAGATTATCAAATTTCACTTGACAGGAAAATGGCACATGCCTCAATAAAGACATGATGACATCATATCATGACCATGTGTAGGCAAATAATGACCGTATCTAGGTACATCATGACAAAATATATGCATACAACAGTTTTTTGTGGTTGTGATGACATATCATGACCATATATATGCACATCATTACCATATATAGGCACATCATGACTATATATGGGCATACAACAGTTTTGTTGTCAAAGAAAATTTGATAATTTGGACCAAGCTATTGAAAAGAAATCTAATGTCTATAATAATATAACGTTTTTTATATATTTTCTTAATAATTCCCATTTTATGTCTGTTTTACTAATATATAAAGCAAGCTTAAGTATTTATCTAGTTTGTCTTGTAGAATTACAACAGATAGTTAAAATAAAATACAATTAATACTGCAATAATAATAATAATAACCATTAAAAATATTCTTTTAATATTTATTTGGTAGGTTTTTAAACCAGTTCAGCTCTGCCTAAAATTCATTCCAAATCCATTCACCTTGTCTTAGGCATAGTACCAATTTATTTTGGGTTACGTTCTGACCTGAGAGATACGGCAGGCGTATCTAACGCCGAATTTACGTTAATCCGTGGCGTAACTAACGTGATGTTCAGACTAGGCGGTTAACAAACGCTAGCGTATATGTTTGCTGTTTGCTACGCCATGCACAAGTTCACACCACTTGATTAATATGATATGAGACTCGCTGTGTCTGAACATAGCGTTGGTGTTTAATCGTAGATGATAATGTATACTCCATAGGTGTTTGATTCAATGACTGGATCATAATAAAACACAGAGGTCGTGGCAATAAGGGTATTATGCTTTATAACACATGCCTAAATTAGATACCTGTCATTTGATTGGTGGATTTCGTATCGCTTGACATTGGTTATTTACCCCATTTAGTCACTTTTGTCTTCATTTTACCCCATTTAGTTCCACTGTGCATTTTCTTTCCACCCGTTTTTTTTTACCAATTGCACGGTGCCTAGGATACGACGTTACAACCAATTTAATACAAGCTTTTAATTGGTTGAATATTGTACTGGACTGTTCTATTTAGAAAAAGGGTAGATTTTTTTGTAAAATATGAAGTGACAAGAATCTCCGGAGGGCCAGAGTAAATATTTTAATTACTTTTAACTTATTTTTTATCATTCCAGTGCACTTCCAAAGACCCTTGTGCACTGCTTAGTTTTAATATTAGGCCTACTATTTATAGATGATTTAAAAAAACAAGGTGTTTTATAGCCAATGATTATAGTGGACAGCACACATAGTTCAGTTGAGTCTTAGAACAAAAACTTAGGTGTTTAATTGTTTATTCTGGTGAGAATTATTTATTTATTTGTAATTTTTGTTACTGTTCTGTAAGCCAACATACCTCAATTTGATCCTCAATTTGACCTCAAAACACTTTCCATTTTTCTCAAATTTTTTATAATTTTGAAAAATTTGGGAAAAGGACGGGCCGGCTCAGCCCACCATGAATCCGCCATTCTATTATGTCTACATTTATTGTATGCATTAACCTTAAAGTAAAAATATTTCTTTTTATAGGATTAGTTAACTTTTGGTATGTCCCTGTCTCATATTTTTTTTCTGGTTGTTTTAATAAAATTGTAATTGAATGAATATATTGAGACAAAATGAAATAACTGAAATAAGTAGTTAAAGTAAGTACTTAGAAATTTGATTAACGTAAGAAACATGAACACAGTACTACTGAAGCTGTTAGGTGGATGAAACTGGTTAGTAGGATCTATCCGTACTATCACAAATATATGGGCATCATGATGATGTCATATCACGTCCAAATGGGTAAATATGACATGTACATGTGAAAGCGTGGTTTCATTAAAATCGTTACACTATCGCTACAGTACGTGTTTACAGCTATCGCTGTCCTGCTGTCTTCGATAGCATGTAGCCATTGTATGGAAACCAGGCTAAACCTGATAGTGTGGCCACAACTTTAAGCTTGGAAAACTTTAGGCTTAAAGTGGTTTTACAGTGACCCCACTTGCATACTTTTGAAGATGTAAATGCAATTATGCTGCTGTCTAAACTTCCATCTCATTCATTCCCATGAAAAATTTGAACTGTGGCTTTTATTCTTTTGGCTTTAACTAAAATTGGCCTACATTTGCATTAATTTGTTACTAGTATACTTTAAACTTGTATAGAGAGGAGATACTATATCTAATCAAAGAGGAAGAGTATTTGTAAATGGGATTGAATGGGATAGATTGGAGTTGATATGATTGTGATCTTTGTAATAAGTAACTGAATGGCTGCATTCTGTTTGCTAACGTTACAGGGCTGATTGTTTAGGGTTTAACTACATAGACTTACAAATATGATATTCAAAATTGCAGGCCAAAAGCTTTTAACCATAATGTTGAAGTGGTCCACGAACTCCTATTTGACACTTTTTTTTTTGGGTACAATAGAATTTTGGAATATGGACATTTGGTGACAAATTAAAAATGTCCTCTAATTTTATAGCGATTATTTATTTCTCAAAAGGCTGTGTATCCATAGAATATAGCTCGGTTCACACTATCAAATTCTATGTGACAAATAAATGTGATGATGCCTATATATGGGCATGATGATCATCATATTATACCTAAATATGGACATATCACATCCAAATATGGGCATATCATATTTATTTGTTGCATAAAATTTGATAGATCATTCCTGATGATGACATAATTAATGTTGAAATATTAAATCCTGACACGATGGCGTGCATTTCGATACTTGGAGTATGTATTATACTATCAAATTTGATAGTATGCACATTTCTTTAAATGGAATTTTTGTCTAATTTTAGACATTACCTTCAAGAATAGTCAGGATTCTGATATGATTTAAGCTTCTGTGAATGTACTGTATAAATTCTGGTGCGCACTGACAATAGTGTGAACATGGGACATATGTTCACTCTTTCATCCGTCCTGTTTTGCATAAATTTTAATTGATTTTTAAGGATTTGCCAAAATCAAGGCTATAAAAGATGTCATTCAACAGAAAGTCTCTAATCTAAGTAGTTTATTATTAGTCCTCTTGAACGAAACAAGGATCAAATGACTGGAGAAAACCCAGTGTGAACAGTATGTGCTGTGCTGACCCTCCCCCTCCATTCCAATACTCTATACACCACTTGAGAAAACCAAACAACATTCAAGAATATTGATGACGATTTTCATTTTTGAATGTCATAGATTTTACTAGTCATGCTCAAAAAATCTTTTTAGAACAAAATGTACCATAAAATGTTAATGATCAAAAGCAGCAAATGTATTATAGTGTTAGATGTTAGTGTTAATTTGATTACATCATCCATATCAGCTGAACTTTTATGAATATGTATGATTTTATGCAGCTTCTTAAGGCCACAGGACAAAACAATTACAAGAAAAATGTGACATTTGTTCTAGGTAACATTAATTTATCAATTGTGATTTTCGTTAAATTATATTTATCATAAATATCAAATACTGTAGTAATCAACATAGCTTTAGTTTAATAGCGACATATAAATGTATTGTATTAAAAGTGATTAATATAAAATGTGTATTTTTTTATTAATCTGTATTAGGATTTTTATCTTTTGTCTTCATTGGACAAAGATCTGTATTATGTTAATCCATAAGAATTGTTAGAATTATACATTTATGGTGATAAGGGGTAAAAATTGGTTGTGATGCCTGAGCCCTGTAACATTTAAAAATTGTGGACAATCAGTCAGGATATTTGTTTCTAAAATATACAGGTTCATATCCAATGGTTACTTGCTTCGTGAATTTTGGCCAGTATAACCTCTTGTCTAAAAACCCCGTTTAAGTTATAAAATTATTTAATTAAAATTGCACAAATTGCCTTTTTTCAACAACTGATACAAGTGTTTTAGGCTCCTCCTTGGAGAAAAACTAAACCGACCATTGATTTGAGATGGCTCGGCCTGGGTATCACAAACCATTTTTTTGGCTAAATTATAGTTTAGAAATGATTGGTACTGTATATTAAAACACAGCTTTAGTGCACCCACAGCTTTTTTTAAAAATATCTTTATCACTATTTGGTGAACAGCCTTATTATGGCCTGTCTTTAAAATGATAATATTAATGATAACACTGAAGATGATGATGGTATAAATATATTTATATAACATCAGGGACAAAAGAGTTATATTAAATTATATTTGTTACAAGACATGTTGAGTGCGCTCTTTGATTTGATGTCAGGCCGTGATGTTGGCCTAGCCCAACTACATGAAAACAGGGAGCGACGTCCGACCATGTCCACTCGCAGTGGTGGTGGTTGGGGTGGGGACGCCTGTCCGTATGTCAGACAGGCCTGGATCCCTGTAGTCATGACAAAGTTGTCCGGCCAATCCCTAATATATTGTGGTCTAAAAGCCCATTTTTGGCCATAGTAAGAAAGACTCCCCTTGAACCCTACCAAGGGACCTTTATTCCGAGACCCAGACCAAAGCTTTATTCGGCGCCTTGCTTCAGACGCCTGGACACGTCGTACCCCCTGTCAGCAAACTTCTGGAGACGCCCCTGCTATCACGGATATTGCAACCTCCTTTGGACAAATCATGGCGACAACCCTGCGTACCATGCTAGTACTTGTAGGCAGTATAATAGACAACAGTGATCAATTTAACAAATTTGAGTAAAAAGCTTTTAATATAAATCAAAATTCTGTAATTAAAATTATACCAAATTTGCCAAGAGAAAACATAAAATATAAGTCAATTATTCAATCACAGTCATTGTATCCCACATTTACTTATGCAATGAACATAAACCACAACGGCTGTATTTTTCTGGTACATTTTTTACTTAACACTTTTTTGGCTTGTTGATTAAGTAGACTCTGTCGAGAATGAGAAAACAAGAGTAAATGAATTTGGAAGGTTTTTTCCCGTATGACCACAAAAACAAATATAGCCAATTTGCCAGTGAGGAAAAAAATGTTATTAATTTACATATCTCATAAAATAAATGAAGCTAAATCCAAAATCACAATTTGTGTTCTGATGATATCAACTTGGAATAGGCCATGTTAGATCCAATTGTGGCATATCATCGTACAGTATGTGATTTATTTTGCATTTTTTTATGGTTTAACACGGAATTACCAGTTGAATACCGCCATTGTTTATGTTTATGAATGAACAGTTGTATGAGAATGAATTCAGCAATCAAATACATTATTCATATGTATCTGGCACCAGTTCACCAGGTGTTGTGAATGTAACATCGTTTGCAAAGACTATTAATATGAATATTTTACATTATTTAGAATTATTTTAATATTTTTAGAGTAATTTACAGTATATAATACAGATATACAGTTGAACTTGCCTAGGTCGAATGCAAAATGCCATTGCAATATTGTTCCACTTTATAGATGTAAAATAATACCGACGACTTAGATAAAATTCTACATAAAATAAGAACGACTTAGACAAGTTTAACTCTATAATAATTTCTACAGAGTAAAATTGAAAATTTCCACGTAAACATCACTTTGCTCAGCTGAAGACATACAGGTACTAATTTACTGTATTAAATACAAAAATATGATGCAATGTTGGAATTGTTTTTTACAGTAAACTTGTGTTTTTAGCAAGCGGATTCCTACTTTAATTATTGCAATTACATGTGTAAAAAAGTACAAATTATTAATTGGAAAACAATTTTAATTTTCTTTAAAAACAATCATCTATTTTGCAAATTAATGTGTTGCAAAATAGTTCATCATATGACCATAATTATAAAGAAGCTATAACATGCGAATCTCACCACAAACTATTTTGAAACCTCTAATAGAAGCCCAATGGGCTTAATCTAGAGAAGAAGCCCATCTTGAATTGAAGCCCCCTCTATAGTTTGCAAAAGTAGCCTTGAAAAGAACCCATCTCAAAGACACATTCATTCTTTTCAAGAACAGTACATACACCGTACATGAATTTCATAAATAAATAAAATTAATTTAAATAAATTAAAACGTTTACGCGGTAGTTTAAGTGATTCAATGCTGGTTCATACACATACACATGAATCAGACTGATATTACAGTGGCCTTATTTATTGTTTTATAGCTGTCATTCCTAAAATTTACAGCATTCATTTTCAAAAGAAGGCCCCCCTCCCCCTCCTCTTTACAGTACTTTGCACAATTGGCTTAAAGCCCATCTCGTAAAGAAGCCCATCCAAAGTTCGCAAGACAAAAGAAGCAGTCTGGGCTTCTATTCAAGGTTTCTTCCTAAAGTCTACGTGTACCTGTAGGTATTAAAATAATTGCACCGTGAACAATTTTAATCATTTGTAAATTAATTATCTGGAATGCACATTATTGAGAAGCACTTTGGTCAAGTTTACATGTGTCATGAAGTATGTAACTCATTTAAAAAAAGATAATATAACCTGAAAAACTTATACTACAAATGGTTTCCACTGATTAAGAATAATTTCTGTTGAAAAATACAATTGTAAATTATTTAAAAACACATAACTCAAATTATAAACCTATTATCTACACTGCCTTGATTCTACTTTGGAAGTAGAGAAAAGATACACAACAGCAACGGTAATCTACAAAATGTATACGTTTAGTTGTTCTTCGAATATCTTGGTTGGAAACAGAATGTGGTATAGTGTAGGTGGTTACAGCCTTATACTGTATATACATTTTTACAAGGCTGTAACCACACTCCAAAATATAATGTGACAAACACATGTGATTTGCCCATATATGGGTATAATTATGACATAATCATGGTCATATATAAATGTAAAATGACATCATCATCTGAAGAGAAAACATATTTTTTCGGTTATGTTTTCAGTGTTTGTTCATAATTTGATTGAAGTCTTACATCACTATCCTTTTTATTTATATTTTCTACAAAATAAACAGAAAATTAGTCCTGGCTATTAAAAACTCTGCGAATGTAAATAAAAGCTCATGATTGGCCAGATAAATACTTTAAGCAGACTTCAGTTCTTAAATTCAAATCCACACAAGGCTTACACTTGGTTATCTTACTTTTCATTCAATGCATTTACTAACCAATCATCACTAAACATTTCATCTGAATCGTCACTTATATCGTCTTCATCTCCACCCTGCAACAAACTTGCATAGTGTAATGTTTTCTTCTTTTGCGGGACCAGCTTAGCGGTTGCTATGACAATAGTTGCCCAGATAAATGCCAACACAGCTGACCCTTGAAACAAAATCACAAGTCCTACTTTATCATACAGGTACCCACCAATCATGCAACCACAGCCGTAACCAAATCCCCAGTATAGTGACATGAATATGTGCTCAACAGAACGTTCCTCTCCAGGTGGCGCTATTTGCTCGGCTAAGGATGACACAGCACCCATCAATGCTCCGTAGCTGAAAGCATGCGAAAGTTCAATTGGCAGAACAGCCCACGGGTGCTGAAGAAACGAGTACAGCAAACAACGAACAGATAAGAAAAACATTGCAAGTGCAACTGTTCCAATGTTTGAGATCTTCTTGGCAAGGAATATGCCGAGATACAACAATGGTATTTCGCATATTGTACTAATAAATACGACAGAACCAAACAGCAACTCACTGCCCCCAAGGTCCTGCAGCAACCAGAACAGAAAGTTTGTGATGTTTGCTTGGAAGGCACCAGCGAAAATCATAGTGATTACGAACATTGCATTAGATCGACTCGACAAAATTGCTTTCAGGCCCTTTACATACTTACTGCGGTTTCTTACTTTAGAATCTGTGTAAATCGGATAGCAAAAAGCCAAGAGAAATGCCAATCCAAAGAAAATCGCAAATGAATAAAAATAAATCATAAGACGACTTGTATCTGGAAATATAATACAACTTGCATTGTCAACTATGATTGAAGTGATGAATGCGAAAAATCCATAACCGAATAATCCGTAACTTCGATGAGAACCGTACTTCTCCACTTCATCTACGGAATCCAATGTCTCATAAAGAGCGTCCTCGCATATTTCTTGCCCCGGTGAAGCAAATAATTCACCAATGAGAATAACACTTAGTGCAAATATAAATGTGCGATACTCTAGGTCCATGAACTGGTCTTTCAAAGTGAACATTTGGTTCTGAAGTCCCTTTAGAGACCATCTGGTGGTGCCAGAGTTGATGGAGGTGTCAGCATCATCACTGGCACTGTCTTCCCTCTTCTGTCTGTCACCAAAATCTGGCGGTAAAGTATGCGCCAAAACAGCGCTATAAAGATCAGCATCATGTGATTTAAGCCAGTCAAGGAATTTTTCCATACTGACCTCTTTTCCTTTCGCATTCTGTTTTTTCTTGTATCTATCATAACTCTTTTGCAGAGCATTAGCAAAGACAGAATGTTCACTAGTGGCTGTTGCTTCATTTGAAAAACTTCCAAATGTTGGAGACGTTAATCTAACATTTGGTTCAGTGACCTTTTCAGGTGATGGTGTTGACTGTACTAAACTCGGATTAGTTGACGTATGCGTAATATTTGTATGGCCGTTACCTCCGCCCTTGTGTACACCATCAGTATGATTATCATTTGGGCAATAGACCAATGACAGAGCTTTATCTACAGGCGGTATTAATGTCAAACCAAGGTTTCCTGCTATGGCCATAAACAGTGATATCATAAGAATTATACGTCTCTTTTTGTAACGTCTGGCGCATCTAGCCCATGCCGGCCCTGTCCAGAATCCGACTAGGGCTTTCCCACCAAACAGCATTCCTGTCTGCGTTGCAGATAGTCCAAGCTGTCGGAAATACAGTGTTAGATACGGCAGGAGACATCCTTTTCCCGAATAGTATATCGTGAAGAAGAATGTAGTGAACAGAATGACTTTCTTCAGGTTAACCTGTTCTCCTCGTACCATTTTGATTCTTCAAGTTGCTACCTTTAAACAGAAAGAAAAACAATTATATAGTAAATTTGTCTGTATAATCATTTCCAAATCTTAAAAAAAAATTATTAGAGAACAATATTATATCATGTGAATGTAAGATATTGTACAGTATGATAACATTCAAAATACTTGTATTTAAGGCCAATATTTTTAGTGAGGGTATTTACTATTGCTCTTTAGTACAGTATCCTATGGTGAACAGACTGGAAAATATTTAGAATTGTTTAAAAAAGGAAGTAAAAATAATCTTTGTATGAATTTTGTTATTCATGTTTCCAGTTCTTCTTTTGCTCTGCAATTGCAAGTCCAAAATTTGATGAGGGTGGGGATGTGGAACCAGCAATTCATTTTATTTGGCCTAATTTGCTTCACTGTAATAGTTGAATTTATTATAATACTACCGTAATAATTATTATTATGAATAACTGGTTGCATTTTTGATTCGATCATTTACCAGGAAACAGTTAGATTTACCGTATTAGAACATGATAATTGTGTAGATAAGTAGGCTATGTTATTAAATTCCTTACAATATGTTTGTTCTTGTGAGGTTTACTTATGTATTTTGTACTTTAAATGTAAAGCGCATTTGAACATAAATTATGAAAAGAGTGACAATATGTGGTAAATAAATAAATAAATCAATACACTATAGAAGTTGCTATGAAGACGTTTACTGTAGATGCGGTTTTTGTTATAAGCATGTAAACAATGGAAACTGTCTCTTATACACATCTAGATGTGTATAAGAGACAGGTATGATAACATTCAAAATACTTGTATTTAAGGCAAATATTTTTAGTGAGGGTATTTACTATTGCTCTTTAGTACTGTATCCTATGGTGAACAGACTGGAAAATATTTAGAATTGTTTAAAAAAGGACGTAAAAATAATCTTTGTATGAATTTTGTTATTCATGTTTCCAGTTCTTCTTTTGCTCTGCAATTGCAAGTCCAAAATTTGATGAGGGTGGGGATGTGGAACCAGCAACTCATTTTATTTGGCCTAATTTGCTTCACTGTAATAGATAGGCTTATCTTTAATAATATATACCAAGTATACAAAATTAATATTCAGTCATACAGCTGACACGACTACACTAGGAAGCATAGAAAAAAAAGGGGTGGATTTGGGGGGGGCAGTCCGGGCCCCCACAAAAAAAGAAAAGAAAAAGAAATTAAGAAAGAAAAAGAAAAAGTTGATCGCCCAAAACCCCTCAGACGTTATTTTTGGGCGTCTGGAACGCAAAAAGTTCGCAGGGCCATGCCCCCAGACCCCCTAGGGTAGTGTTAGGCCTATCTAAGTCGGCCCCACTGTTGGCCACCCCCTTCCCCCCTTTCAGACATCGCTGGATCTGCCCCTGAAATCACGCCTTCAACCATTAGTTTAGAATTGGCACTAATAATATTTTTATTAAAATATTATATCAATATTACTGTACATTACTATTCAAAGTATATCCTATACCAATACAGTACCGACCTCTTAATTAAGCAAGGTTTATTCAGAATACTATTAAACATAATACAGAAACCAGCTTGATTGTCCATGAACATCAGGAGTTGTGGTAATTTCATAGCAGATGGCGAACCAGCCGTGTTGTGATTGTTAAGTGGGAAGATAAAGCTACTACGGTAATTGTTTTATTATTCACTACAGTACACTCTAGACTAAGTAACTGTAGGAGATGATTTCTTGGTATTAGGTATTCTGTGCCAAAAAAGGTCAACCTGGCATATAGTATATGGACCCAATGACCAGGGAAAAGAACTTCAGCGCTTCCTAACTGAAAAGAAAGACGCTATACAAGTAACAAGTTACAAGTATGTGAAATGATTGATTATTGGTTGATTAATTGATATAATATTCTACAACTCAAGCCAATAATAACATACGTCCTAGACCAAAATTCATGGTATGCCTAATTGTTGCAAAATCATGGAGCAGATACCTGCCAACTTTGTTGGTGTCTGATGCGTGAGACAAAACAAAACGAAATTTGCATATAGTGCGCGCCCACTATGTAATAATCATGAAACAGAGCACCCTCTAAGTTATTTATTTTTTAATTGTAGCTGTGGAACTGTTGTTGGTTTACAGTCGTCACGGTCGGTATAGCTCCATTAAAAGAAATTATACGGCCTGTACTGTATATTCACATTTTAATGACAAATTCACTTCATTTTTATGAATTTGAGAATAAACACCTTTAAATGTTATCTTTTATAAACATTTTTATGATGCAGCGTAAATACGAGAGATAATGCAACGTAGGCGTTAGACGCAAAAGATGGATGCTCATGCATGAGACTTGCGCATTATGCGTGAGAGTTGGCAGGTGTATAATTAATACAAACTCATTCTAATAGTAGGCCTACTACATGTGTAATATCAGGAGTTCAACCTGTAGAGTCTAAGCCTTCTTCCTAGTTGTCCATATGCCAAGGAATAGAGGGCGCCATCATAATGAAAATTATTCTCATCAAATGTAAATGAAACACGAAGCGTACAATATTCATTTTGAGCATTGCTTCTGGATTCTTACTAGCAGGGTGAGAGTTTGTGTCCTGGTGACCACTGCCACGGCCAGCGAGTTTATATATATATATATTGTTACCAAATGATCGATGACACAATAAACCACTAATAAAATTCAAAAATATGACGATACTTTTGAGAACGATCACTTCAGGCAATGCCTGAACAATTTAATAAGGCCTAGCCTCACTAATTATTTTAGTTTTTGTTCATTCAATTACAAACTCGGACGGCTTCGGACGCTAGTTGACAGGACATTCAAAATTAATTGTAGCTGGATGGGTTTTCAAAGCCTTAATATCCATCCTAAGGAAAAATAGCTTTCCGCTACACATTATCAATAAAATAATTTCTTCGAAATATCTTGATTCTGTATGCTCCCCCAATAAACGTTCAAAACCACCTGAGGCCATTGGAGATACCACACCCACCACCACCCTTTATTTCAAAATTCCATATATCGGCCCCTTTTCTAAGATTGCCTCTCATAAAATTTGTTTCCTTTCTAAGCAATTATGTAATGATTTTGAATTTAAGTTGGTTTTTTCTTCATTCAAAATCAAAAATTTGTTTTCAGTGAAGGATCCTGTCCCTGCCGGTCTCCGCTCTCGTGTTGTATATAAATTTGTGTGTGCTGACTGTAATGCCACCTATGTCGGAGAAACTAGCCGACACTTCTCAACACGCGTGCGCGAGCACTTGGCAATGGATAGGAACTCTCACATATTAAAACACCTTAAGAATTCACGCAAATGCATGCAAACTTGTAGTGAGGACT